TAAACTGATCCAAATTTTCTTTGTTGGATACATCACAATTTATGGCATCTTTCATTGTCTAGGCTTTGTAGCTTTTCTGACCTTTGAATGTGTATCACACAAACTACTCAGACAAATTACTGAATGCACACAGCTGCTGCTTCAGAGCAATTACTTTTGCTTACAGCCTGCAGCAACCCCTTAAACATTATGCAGATACAGAAGCAAAGCTCCAGTGTACTGTTGGAGCATCTTTCCGGCAATGGAAACTACTGTAAGAGAAAGGCAATTCTTTAGGTTTGTTTGACACAGGGCACTCAAGTTGAATGCTGTTTTGAGCACTCTGAAAACTATTTTTATTTTGGATTCTTGGTGCTGTAAAGGAGCGGTGCACAAACTCTCTGGTTTTAATCAGTTAACAGCACAGAAGTTGCACCCCACAATCAATGCGTGTTAGATCAATATATTATTAACCAATATATGTACAATTATGCTTCACAAAGAATGCTATATTCAGTTTTAAATGCAGTTCAGTAGGGGCTTGCTCCTAATTTACTTCTATAACATAATCCAGATTTCTGAATAAAATCAAACACTTGTCCAAGACAGCCAAAACTGCACAGAAGCAGCTAAAATTATAAACTAGCCCAGAATAAAGGGCAGCATACAGCCTTGGTGCCCACAAAGCAAAGGAGGAGCTGTAGCTGCAGAGTCAGTTTGGTCCCCACTTTCCCCTTGCTTTAAATATGATGTAATCTGTACCAGCCCTTTTCCTGGTACACTTTACTTCTCCATCCAACCCCATTCTGCTGTGCAGACAGTGAACTGGCAGACAGAGCCAATGCTCCATGCAGTCCTACCCACACAGACAGGAACAAAGTGGTAGCAGCTCCCTCTCTCCACTACAGCCTTTGGATCTGCAGCACAGGGAAATGGAAAGTAAGGAGACACTTTGATCCCTCAGTCTTCTGTAAAGGCTGGCACTCACCTGTGTTTCAAACTTAAGGACAAAGTAAATGAGAGGAAAAACCCTTAAAAGATAATGGCTTCTTCAATTTCTTTGTCAAAGTGACTTCACTGAATGCTCCTTTTTATTAAAACTCTTAGCTCAGCTCTGTATTGTCAAGTTTTAAACTATGAAAATCTCTATCTACGCTGTATATGGACAATAAAAAAAAAGAGGCCTCTAGCATACAGAGAATTTACTTCCAGATCCGTATTCACAGAATAGTTTTTCTGTAGGTATTCATGTGCCGATTGTGAACTATCACACTGGCAGGTTTAAAGAAATGCTTTCCTCTCCATGTCAGTTTCGCTAGCATTGTCACAAGAAGTTTCTCTGGTTTTAATGCTCACATACTCTGGTACTTCAAGATTGTCTGTAACTTCACTTCTGACCTCATTTTACCAGAAAGTCAAGAGCACAGATGAGTTATTCAGGCACCCCCAGGACATTATCATAAGTAGTGCACAGTTGCAAGGTTTGTTACAGGGGAAAAAAAGGAGTTTACATTTCTAAATACACTAAATGTATTAAATTAACTGAAATACATTTGTGTTTCAGTTTAATAGACCCTGTCAATCTGACGTCCACTGAAATAAGAAGTATTAAGCATACCACATATTTTTAATGTTAGCTACATCCTTAAACATGTGCCTCTTGGTTCCTTAACACCAGGCTTTGAAGCTGAAGACTCAGTGTGCCTCTAATACAAGACATCTAAGCTAATTTTAACAATATTACTCTCTCTACCTAGATGAGGAAAGACTTGGCTATGCATCTGGTATAAATACATATAATTGATATTTAAAAAAAAAAAAATACACACACACACAATTGATCATATAAAGATGTGTGACAAAGAGTCTTTCTCTCTCACGATATGCAACAAAAATGAAGCTTATGCTAAGTATCTTATGCATCCAGCATCTCAGTTAGGATCTGCACCAACAGAAACTACCATTTATTTCATTACCTTTTTAATATCTCAAATTTTAAATAAATGGCCCCTAATGAGTGCAAGAGATGTAGAATGCTCAAAATAAAAATTGCTCTATCAACAAAGTCTTGAGAAGATCAGCAGATCTTTGCGTGGAATTCATGAAGGTACATAAAAAGTCAGATCACTCTTACAGGTATTAAACTGTTTAACATCTTTTAAATATGGAGAGTTCCAGTTTGGTGAATGGAACAGCAACAGGAGACGAAAAAGAGAGTCCACAGGAGTAGTATTACCCCCTTGCCCTTCAGAAGCATTTTTTTTTTCCTTTGCAACTGAGACATGCAAAATATCAAACACTAGGATGCCATGTTTTAAGTCAGAAGTGAAATCTGTAGTCAGAAGAAAAAACGGTGTCGTGAGCTCACCATGCTGACCAGCATAAATAAGGACAACTCACATTCACCCTCACTTCAGTGACTGATGTAATGATTCTGAGCCACATTTCCTTGGCCTACAAAATTCACTGGTTCCCAGGAGGTGCTCACTGGTGCTATCACAGCAAGATGTGTTCAGCTGATTTGTGAAGCTTCACAATATTTCCCAAGTTTTATCACAGACCTCTTCAAGAGATCTGAATGTACAAGCATTCTGGCAACCTCTATCACCCACAGCTGAGAGCTGAATAAAAGATAAATATATAAGAAGAAAAAAAAAACCACCACAAAATACTGCATGGGGATAGTAGGCAAACGGATCAAAGAAGTGGAACAGAAATTTTAATAAAACTTAACATAAAAAAGCTCAATATACAATATAAATAAAAAAAAGGGGCAGGCTGAAAAAAAAAAAAGACAATCATAAAAAATGAATTGTAATGTTTTTCTGCAGTGCTACAATGTGATGTTGACAATAAAATGTCATTAAGAAACAAAACAGAGACAGTCTGGTCCCAAGAGAAATATGTAAAAGAACAAGGAGATTTGTTATACATAGATTCAACAAGAAACGTGGTCAAAAATATTCCCTGGTTCCACAGCTGCCAAATAGCAGTTTACCATATCAGCATTACTGTCAAAATGGGAATATAATACACAATAGCTGCCCACAAATTTTGTGTATCTAAAACACTACAGCCAATCAGTTCTACATATGACACCGACTAGTATTCTGTATGCATTTCACCACTATATTTACAATTACATTGTGATACAACAGTTTCTAATCAAGGAGGAAAGTAGAACACACACGTCACCCCATACTAATACAGAAAGAAATAAGCTGTGTAACACATTTAAAAAGCATTGCAAATTTTTAGCAAGAATTTTTAACTTATGTGTACTTGAACTAGCTTCCCTTATACAGGACAAAACAAAAACAAACAAACAAACAAAAAACAAAACCAAAACAATAACCCCAAACAATCCACATCGGAGATTTTTTGAAAGAAAAGGTAACTGCTATTCAAATTGCTGGTATAATACTTCTGCTCTGATAAGGTCAATGCATTGCCCTGCAGGTAAAATACCTAACTGCTAAATAGTTTTTCAGATCTATTAATTCACGGAACTGAAGGTATAAGCAGTCCTGTTAACTCTGCAACACTATTCCCACTAGTCTTTCAGCCTCTGTAGATTGCTTTTTTCTAGAACGTAAAATATTCAGAACACCATTGATCCACAGTTCTCTGTCCTGTAGAGACTCCCTTTGGAAAGAGAACAACAGCACCAGTGCCAGAAGGAGCTTTACTGTACAAATTCTAAACTCAGGGCTGCCCATGTTCTCTGGAGTAGGTTTATCTCAGCATGATTAAGAGTTCAGCTCTTGGAAATGAAAGCATAAAATGCATGAAACACCTCATGCCTTCAAATATCACATGATGTGATGCTTTCAACAACAAATGTTCTATGCATACAGTATATATGAGACATGGCCACTTAAAAGAGCAATCCAAGCTTAGATGGAATGCTTACTGAGGTATCCCGTTTGCACAAAAAATTAGGATTAGGAGGAAGGGAAAAAAAGTTTGTGGGTTTTCTTTTTAGGTGTCTTAATTCTTCTCTGAGTCCCATCATTTGAAGTTAAATTTAACATTTTCTTCCATTCACGCATGTAGTATAGCCCATATCTCTGCAACCTCAGAGGCAAAGGGTAAAAAAAAAAAGGCACAAACAGTTGAAAAGTTTTAAGTTGTATGAGAGCTATGACTTGTAAACATCATATGAAAAGTTTCTCAAGCTCATCCTAATGTACAAGTAGGCAGGACAACAATTCATAATCGATGCATTTCAGAAGATCCAAGTGACCGAAGCTTTGGTCAAAGCAATTATTCCTATTGATGTAAGTCAAGTTTATGTCCCTCTGGCTGTCAGTTTGAATCTTCTGTAGTAACCCACGTTTTACCTACTCAATCACTCCTAGCTAACACTTACCAACTTACAATTCAAGTCCAGGGTAAGAAGTGGAAATGCATGCATGTGTGTGCATACACAGACCAGAAACTGAATTCATTCTACTCTTTAAAAAGTCACTAGCATTACAATTATTAGATATTTTGCTTCTTTATTCTACTAGAAACCACTGAGAGAAAAAGTCATGGCTGTAACTCCCCCATCTCATTAGCAATGTACAATGTTAATGCACTCAGTTTGCTTGTGCTGATGAAAATGCTGGCAACTGGATTTGAAACCCACATTTTACTGTCAGCTACCTTGAAAAAAAGGTTGTATTAATATGCAGAGAACCTGTCCTAAAAATTCACAGCAGTAATTTGAGAATTGATGTAATTAAAAAGAAAAAAACAACAACAAACTCTTGAATAACCATGACCATCTTAAAGATTCTAATTTCAAATAGATAAAAGAAACAAAGAACAGAACATTAAGGGTTTTATTCCATGTATTTTCCTAAGTATATACATGAAGTCTTAATGTTATTTCTTAAATTAGGCAAGCAACACACTAACTTCTCTCCCCAGAGTAACAAGTTACTGGACAAGGAAGAACAAGCAAGTCCACTGTAAAAGAATTACTGTAGTTTTAAATGCCACAATTGAAAATCTAAAGACAATTCATCTCTTACCTCAATGGTGGGTGGATCCTTTCTTTTTTTTCTTATCCAAGCTGCAAAAGAAATAAAAATCAAATGGATTATTTCAAAGATCACAGACAGTATTACTACTCAAAATGACGTTGACTTCGTAACAGAAAGCAAACATTTATATAAAATTTGCTGCAACACAGCAAGCCAAACTAGCATTTCCCAAAGTGTCAAGTTCCAATATGCTATGTCCCATGTCAATACTCTCAACCATCACAGAAGAAAAAAAAAAAACCACATTCCTGTTATGAGAGCTTGAGCACAGCTTACACACTACCCAGAATGCCAGAACACAGCTTAAGACCCAACTTTTTGTTGAGCTTGCTACACAGAAAAGCACAGTTTCACCCTGAGAAAACAACACGGTGACCACTGAAAGTATGAAAAGCTTTAGACTATTCTGGAAAAAAACAATCCCTGCATATGCCTCAGGCACTGTTAAAGCCTGGAAAGCTCTCATAGACATTAGTGCTGACTAGAGTTCTTTCATGGGGTGCAAAATATAGCGATAAACCTGCACAAGCTCTATCTGCCTAGGTTATATCTGTTGCATCAAAGAGAAGGTAGGACAACAGAAGGAAAGAAAGGATGCTCCCTCCATCTCAGCAAATTCATGGTAGAAAGGACTGCAGTAGAATTAGAGCAGTGGCAATGTTGGCTGTGCTGTGATTTTGGTTTTCCATTATGAACTATAATCAATAGTTGTACGTCTGCTCCTACCACGAGCTGCCTGTCAGTGCAGAGCTGACTGGAAGCAACAATCCAAGGGGATTTCATTGCAGACAGAAAAGTGGCATCATGTCCAATCTTGCTTCATTCAGCCAATGAATTATTACAGAGAGCTCCAACGCAGCTACAGAAATTGTTAGATGAACAAATTCCCCAACTGTGAACAAGTTAATATGCATCTCTTCAAAAGTACCGCTGCCGAGCTGCAACGTTTTCTCAAAACTGTTGAATTCACATAATTGTTAGGTGCCAGTTAGCATATTTTGTAGACATTTTGATTTTTTTCCCCTTTTCTACTTTTTAGATGAATTTGCATGCAAATAGCAGCAAGCAGATGGACAAACATTAAGAAAGCAGATAAAAGGCATAATGTTCTTTTATATTTTTGGATAATTGCTTGTTACCATGCTTGAAAATTAGAACAAAAATGCCATTTTCACTATCACACATTATCACTCACACACCGTAGTCCTCATCATTTCTTTCAGAAATGCCATTAGAAGGGATTATTTCAAATTTTAATCTTCCAGTTCTACTGGATTTTGAGGGGAACTGCAAATAAGTCAAGCAGTAAGTTCAAAGAGCTAACAGCTGCATGGAGCCACAATTTCACCTGACTACTGAAAATGCAATCACCCATACAATGAACCACTAACACTACTCTGCTTCAGCAACATGATGAAATTTGATTTTAGGAGGAATAGCTTAAAATTAATGTAAGAATGGAATTAAAGCAGGAAAAATGTCATTACACAGCTTAGAAATCAGTCACCACAGCAAAGCAATAGCTCTAATTCAAGGTTAATAATAAAATAATCTTCAATTACATGAAATTGTTTGTTTCTTGTCTATCAGATGACAATTTCTGAAACATATTTTCTTAAAATTGTCGTGCATATACTTATGAATATCAATACCTGTCAACTCAGTAGTCTTTTAGTCCTAACAAAGTTAAGACCCAAATATGCAACTGGGGGGAAGTGTCTGAGTATTGAATAGCAACATCAAACTTTCTGCAGAAGTTTTATGTTACTAGAAGGCAAAAACAGCCGATTACAATAATTCATTTACAACAAGATGACTTTCTCTTTAATTCTGTAGAATTAGGAAACATTCTGCATGTACGTGTAGCACTTTCAAGCACTTTAACTTCATGAGAATTTCCAAATGCCAAATCTGACAAGACCCTCACCTAAGCTGGTATGCTGACAGCTTTGCAGGCACTCTTTGAAAAATGTTCAACAATATTATTAGAGAAAATCATAGCACAAAAGCCTTTCCTCCTGAAAAAAAAAAAAAAACCATCATTGTTCATACTTAGCAACAGTACTAACCACATACAGAAAAGCTAGAAAACGCTAGAAATATGAAGTACCAAGAAGTATGTTTAAAAGATGCAGTTAGAGAAAAATGAAAAAGAAGTAGCTTAAAATGTTTGTTGAAAACTGAAGTGTTAAGATTACTTTCCATGAAGTATCATCTTTCCTTTCTATGCCTCATTTATTTGTCACGTGTAGGTAATTTGTTACAATCCCACTTGTCTCAATTTCAGTCCTCTCAGCACCTAAAAACAACTTCATTTTTGTTGAAATTGCCAGTGCAAACACTTTCACAGCTGCATCCTAATTTCAACTGGTTACAACTTAGTAATTCTTAAAAATAATCTTAAAATTTGAAATTCTACAAAAAATGAGTTGCAGCTACAAACTATTGCTGAAACATAGTCATTACAATAGATTTTTTTTTTTCACTGACAGATAGGACTTACAGTCAGTTATTTCTGTAATGATTTTCAGATGAACAGAATACTTCTGTTAAAAGACTTTATAATTTAATCATCTGCCTGAGTGTAAGAAGCCACAAACAGCACAGTGAAGGGTAGTACATTGTGTACAAATTACATCAACAGAACCCGAGAATTGAGGAGTGTTATGCAACTTGTTTTCATTCATTAATATATCACAGTTAATACAAACACTCAACAACAATCAAACTATCCTCAGTTTATTTCTCATACCATTATCCAAATACACTATCATCAACACCCATTTAAATTCACAAATAACACACACAGATATCATCTCTTCCACAATGTTCTTGTGAAGAAATTGGCTGCCCACAGTTTGGATGGGCGTATGCTCTGCTGGGTGAAACACTGGCTGGATGGCTGGGCCCAAAGAGTTGTGGTCAGTGGAGTTAAATCCAGTTGGTGGTCAGTCACGAGTACTGGGGCCACTTCTATTTAACATCTTTATTAATGGTCTTGATGAGGGGATTGAGTGCACCCTCAGTAAGTTTACAGACAACACCAAGGTGGGAGGGAGTGCTGATCTGCCTGAAGGGAGAAAGGCACTACAGAGGGACATAGATAGACTGGATCAATGGGCCAATGTAAACTGTATGAGTTTCAGTAGGGCCAAGTGTTGGGTCCTGCATTTTGGTCACAGCAACCCCAGGCAACCCTACAGGTCTGGGGAGGAGTGGCTGGAAAGCTGCCTGATGGAAAGGGACCTTGGTGTACTGATGGACAGTTGGTTGAATATGAGCCAGCAGTGCGCCCAGGTGGCCAAGAAGGCCTGGTTTGTATCAGAAATGGTGAGATGAGCAGGACTAGGGAAGTTATCCTGCGCCTGTACTTGGCACTGTTGAAGCCCCACCTCAAGTAGCATGTTCAGTTTTGGGCACCTCAGTACAGAAAGGACATTGAGGTGCAGGAGCAGATCCAGAAAAGAGGAACAAGGCTTGTGAAGGGCTTGGAGAATATGCCCTACGAGAAGAGAGTGAAGGAACTGAGGCTGTTTAGTTTAGGGAAGAGAAGGCTGAGAAGAGACCTTATTACTCTCTTCCAGTACCTGAAAGGTGCTTACAGCGAGAGCTTCACTGGTAACAGGACAATGGGAAATGGTCTCAAGTTGCACCTAAGTTTATGTTGAATATAAGGAAAAAATTCTTTACAATAAGGCTTGTTAAGCACTGCAATAGGCTCCCCAAGGAGGTGGCTGAGTCACCAAACCTGGATGTGTTTAAAAACCATTTGGATGTGGGGTTCAGGGACACAATTTAGCAGAGGGTTGTTAGAGTTACAGTAGTATGGTTTGGTTGTTCTTGATGATCTTGAAGGTCTTTTCCAACCTGAGCAATTCTATCATTCTATGATTCTATTTTTCTTTCCATCCATAAAAAGCATTTGAATACATACTATGCCAGAGCTATCGCTTTCCTTTTTTTAATGTGTCAGAATTACAAATTTTGTTCATTTAAGTCTAAATAAAACTTGCTGACACAAATAATGGAAACCATTTTCCAACTTAATACAGGTAATTTCACTTTACCATTCACATTACCATTCACTGTATCTCTAATGAACTGCATTAGAAAATCATTATTTAATGAAAAATTTATTCACTGCTGCTGTGTAACTGAGAAGTGTAACAAAAATGTACTAGTATCTCTTCATAGCCATAAGATGAATTTAGCTTTAATATACAATGTTTCCTCTGTGAAAATCCATTCCAGAAACATTTTACATAAAGCACAGGCCAAAATACAAGATTAAAAGCACAGAAATTTTCATCTGAATTCAGTGTATTTTGCTATATTTTACTTCTGTCTCAAATAGTTTCATCAATATTTCAAAAGCAACACCTTTTTCTAATTTTATATTTTTCTAGATCGCTCATCTGACCACTCTTCAGTGTGAAGAATAGGAGGAATTTAATATACCTAATCTTCAACAGTTTTCAGGTGGAAATACTTTGAGCACCCTATCTCTGACTCCCAAGCAGGCAGGTGTTACATGGTATTTGACCACACACAAACTCTTAAAAAAAAGTCCAGTGACAGCTGCTGTTAGAAAAGATTTCCACATGAACACTCATCTTATACATTAACAAAACAAAGTGCTCTTACACCCCGTCAGCCAAAATGCTTCAAAACAGCAGCAAAGTTTACGTGTACGTACTGACTGCTTGTCTGCCTCCAAAGCTTTAGTAAAATGAATTGATTGCCTCCGTTTCCAATTAATTATGGTACTGCTTTTAATTTACCTGGATGGCACTTCCACTTTTCTGTCTGCACTGTAATGTCACTTTTGTCTAAAAGGAATTTTGCAATATAGCTGGTCGTTTTCTACCTTAAGACCCTTGCATTCTTTTACCACCACTCATTTGCATTCTCATTAGTATGCATGAGATTTTCATTGAACTTTAAGACTCCTACTGGCACATAAGACACTGTAATGAATGCAAAAGTGAGTATGCAAATTAAGATTACCATTAATCACTGAATGTTACCAGGAAAAAAAATGCAAGAGAAGCAATAGATGAGCTTTATTGCTGCATGAAGCATGCAATCTCAGGAATCACTGTAGGCGTGTAAAATTGCTGATCTCCTCTTGGGAGCACTACTGACATGTCCTGAGGAGGTAAATTACAAATTCTACAGTAGGTTAACATTCAGAATTAACATTACAGAAAGGTTATCTGTTGGCTGCATCCGTGTTGCCCAGGGAAAAGAAAAGCATACTTCCTTGCCTTGTACTAAAATATAAGAGGCTTAATCTCACATATGTAATCTTCAAATTGTGTGCATGGATTAGAATCATTAGAACAGCTTAGGTTTTGGAAGAGACTTTAACAATTATCCAGTTCCAGATACCCCCTGCCATGGGCAGGGCTGTACACCCCACCCAGCTCAGGCTGCCCAGTGCCCCATCAAACTTTCCAGGGATGGGGCATCCACAGTTTCTCTGGGCACATTGTGCCAGTGTCTCACCATTTTCCAAGTAAAAAAAATCTAACATCCAACCTAAATCTTCCCTCTTTTAGTTTAAAGCCAATCCCTCCTCTCCTATCTCTACGACTGTGTATAAAGTTAATCTACCACTCCTGCTTGAAAGATTCCATCAAGTACTGCAAGGCTGCAGTGAGGTCCCCTTTAGAGCCTTCTCTTCTGCAAGCTGAGCAAGCCCAGCTCCCTCACTCCTTCCTTGTAAGAGAGGTGCTCCAGCACTCTGATTACCTTTGCAGCCCTACTCTGGATCACTCTAACAACTCCATGTCTTTCTTGTGCTGGGAGCCTCAGGCCTGGATGCCATAATGCAGATGGGCCCTCAAGAGGGCAGTGCAGAGGGGGACAATCCCCTCAGTCACCGGCCACCTCTCTTTCAATGCATCCCACAATGCAGGTGGCCTTCTGGGCTGCAGGCACACAATGATGGCTCATGTCCAGCTTTTCATTCACTGGGATCCTCAAGACCTTCTCTGCAGGATTACTTTCTAAATTCAAAACCACAGTATAAAAAGTGCACAATCCATTAATGCTAAAGAGTACACAAGGAAATACAATTCTATTTTTATAATATGGAAACATATTTCAGCTCAACAAAAGCCTTAATGGACGTTCAAGCCCTTTGTACTATCCATGGGTCTGATCAACTTCAGAAATTAAATCCTGCATACCACTTTAAAACTACTATCTTCAAGAATAAAACTCAGGGTAAACCTTTCAGCCCTATATTCAGTAAACTTTCAGGACTACCAAACATCCTCTCACAAGTCTGAGAAACAACTTGCACAGACTGAGCCTACAATCTGGATGTTTGGTATATCTACTTGCTTTATAGCTTCCTACTCGATCTCACCCTATTTAATATTTATAACTTGATTAACACAGTTCCCAAGTTCCCTTAGTTTACTAGCTGTACAGGCAGTATGCTTTAGAAATATAATGAGATTTATTTTAGACTCCTTTCAAATTTCACTTCAGTCTCTCATACTCCCTAAGCAACCCAAGACTGACTCCATACAAGTTTTTGGCCCTTAAATATTTCCAGGGACAGTACTTTTGTTCATATAGGTTACAAGACTTTCCTAGCCATACAAGTGATATAAGGAAATTAAGAGAAGTGCCAGGATGAGTGGCTTTACAGGACATGGTCACTATGGATTAGCCACTAGTGAAGAAGCTCTGCCTGGCAGAACCAAGCACAATTGAAAGCAGCTCTCTAGAAAACAAAAAAGGAGAGGAAACAAGGCAGCACAGATTTTAGCACAATTCTTCAAGTGGAAAGACTGAGAGGGCCAGGACAGAAAATGCCAGTGCTGAAAGTGTGGGTAAAACTGAAGCAGAGACAATGTAAACGTCAGACCACTTGCATGCTATTTGGAGAGAAGGTTCCTGGAGATCTAAGAATGTGGCTGGCAGAGAGGATTTAGAAAACAAAAACTACCCCCCGAAAGATCAAAGAATAGAGAAAGAAAAATAATAAGAAATAATATACAGCCTTCTAATCTTATACTGATCTTTTAGTACTCAGAGGAAACAGCAAGTGCTTTAGAGATCCTCCTGCAAAGCCTCAGAATATTTGCTGGAACAATCAGTGTACACAACAGCATGAGATATCAAGTAAACACCCACAGGAAGAATGCACTGGAAATTTTTCAAAAGTCTGGAGAGAAGATAGCAGACTGAAAATTAAGCACAGACCTTTTAGAGCATTTGATTTCCCCTTTCCACTTCAAGAGGAATAGAGTTACAAAGAGCCCTCAGCAAAGTGCATCTAAAACCCCTGTGTTAAACTATCCTCACCCAGTTGACTGGCTTCAATAGTGTTACTTGCACTCTCCAGTCTTTTCATAGAATCACAGAACAGCTTGGGTTTGAAGGGACCTCAAGGATAACCAAGCTCCAACTCCCCTGCCACATGCAGGGCCACCAATCTCCATATCTAATACTAGACTAGGCTGCCCAGTGCATTCTTTCCCATTTCTTACTCAGATTCTTATTAATTTCACAGGAGGCAGAAAAGAAGTAGATAGCATTCCACATCACTAATTTACATACCAAAATGTAGCAAATTCACCATAATTTCCTGAATAGCTTGTTCATATACACAATTAATACTAGTTTTGGCTACTAAAAACTACTTTAAAAACTCTTTATATTGCTTAAATTGACATTGAACAAAAACTAAAAAATCGGTTAGCCTTTTTTTTTGGTGGAGTTCCTATGCTTCAAGGTTCCTTGCTTATATAGAGTTCATAAAGCACACTTAAAGCCGCTCCAGGCTAAATCTCCTACAACCTCAAGGAACTACATACAATCCCATTCTCTTTTCTCTCTTCCAAAGGCTGCTTAGTTAATCTTGAGGAATTTCTCTAGCTTCCCTGAATTTATCTGAAATCTTGGGACATAGAAAGAAAACTTTCTTAGAACTGATGGGGAAAAAAAAATAAAGCAACATTAATTGATTTACGGGCTCTCCAACTCCCTACAAGATTATGTAAAGAAAAGTACTGGAAACCAGATATGGAAATTAAAATAATGATTTTTATAAAAGCCCCATCACTGTGCCACCAATAATTGAGCTGACCTACAAACTGACACTGCAGTAAAGGCATAATTAGCAAGTTAGTTTGGTTATTCTATCAGATCCCCCCCAGGCACAAATATTTTCACATTTAATAGGAGAAAATCATAATCAGGCAGATTTTATTTACATTTTTATTACGTACTGATTTCCTAAACATTACTTATCCTTATTTGTAAAGGAGTCACTTTAAGAATTCATATCAAAGCAATTATAAAAAAGTAACCCAAAATGAAAGAGACAGCCTATTCATACAGCAAGGCATTCCATTAAAAAATGAATCTAAATTCAATGACAAAGTTATCTTGAAATAAAACCAAAATATTCAAGATTTACCTTCCCATTCTGTTGGAAAGTCACCCATCTCATACTGATATGCTTGCCGATTTACTGCTTCTACAAACCTTCTTTCAGGTTTAATTTGCCCTACAAAAAAAGATAGAAAAAGAAAAAAGAAACAGTTATATACACACACACACACAATATTTAAATTACTAATTATGGTATTGTTTTGAAAGAACTCTTATTCACACAAATGTAGTGATGTCTGAAAGATAAAAAATAAAGGATTTAAATAGTGAGAAAATGATTACCACCAAGATATCTATTTGAGATGCTATTTCAGTAACTTCATCATAAATTTGTATGTTATACTGCCCACGTGGATTAGAATGAGGTAGACATTTTGGCCATTAATATCTCTAGACTAACACTCCCTTTGAAAACACTTCACTGAGGACCTGTAAATCAAACCTGCATTTCCCTTTGTTCAGATATCTTCCGCATACACCTTTGCTGGTAAGAGTCCAGAAACTTGAAAATGCTGTAGAGGCAAAAACTAGCACGGAGTTCACAGGTGAGCCAAATGTTTAAGCCACCTCTGACCCATTGGTGGCAATGGCTCTGGGCACACAAGCCTTTCCATATGCTTAACAGCTAACTATGTACTGCATTAAAAAATGAAAAACAAAGATCACTCTGATAGGAAATACTCAATACATCAAAAGAGGAGCCACTGTGGAGAACCTGTATCTACAACCCACTCAGATTCTGCAAGTCAAAAAGGAAAAACTCATGTTTGACCAGTGATACAGAAAACAGTAGATACATTGTCTGAGGAATACATAGTGTCTATTTAAGATTTTTAAGAACATATTTAAAATATTTTCATCACTGCAGCCTTCACTTTTTAAAGTCCCAGAATCTTTTAAAACTAGTAGATAATAGAAAATATGTAAAATTTCTCCATCCTTCACAGAGAAAAGAATTAACATTCCCCAGCCTCTTTCTGCCACGTCCATGAGGCTGCCATGACTTGACATCTGGAGGAAATACTGAAATAAATATCCACCTAATTTTTTTTTTTTTTTTTCCATACTGAAAGACAATCATTGCAATTTACTCATCTCTGCATACTATTGCTCACTGTTAAGTATTAAGCTCAGCGAAACAGTAAGAACTTCCATAGATATTGCTGATCCTGTATGAGTCTAGGAATTAACACTCTTCTTCATTACTGTAAAGTCACCACTTTATACTGCAAACACAGCACCATCAAAACAACTGTCCAGTATTTGAGTTCCACACAGATACAAGAACAGCGTGATTAAACTAACACAAGCAGATGTAAAGGAGTACATTTTTCCATTTCCTAACACAAACTGTGATTGATGCTGGTAATGAGAATTCATTGCACTGTAACTTGCAGTCAGATTAAACAAAATCATTCAAGGCTTTAAAATACTTGCAATATATGACAGAATGATTAAAAAAAAAAATAATTATCAAGGCAGTTTCAATGCATTTGTAGGTGTTGGTGCCACATCTTGCAATTGTCCTCTAGATGTTAATCCAGATCCCACAAGATGATTTGTATAGATCAACTCCGTATTTTTTTTTTTATTATTATTATTATTTTTTAATACTGAGGACAATGTGGTTATTGGTCACAGTCAACACGTTCATGAAGGGAAGGTCCTGTTCAACTAACTCAATTTCCTTTTACAACAAGATCATCCATCTAGTTGACCAAGGGACACCAACTGATGCTATCTTTTTGGATTTCAGTACAGCTTTTGTCCTTCTGGACAAAATGTCCAGCATACAGCTAGACAGAAACATAATGCAATGGTTATATGAGGGTGGCAGCCAGTCACTAGCAGGGTTTCCCAGAGCTCCTTTTTATGGTCAGCCCTCTTTAATGCTTATATATACCACTTGGATGTAGGACTAGAATGTATTCTGAGCAAGTTTGCTGACTATATGAAATTAGGAGGAGCTGCTGACTCCATCAAGGGTGGAGAGGTTTTGTAGAGAGATCTAGACAAATGAAAAATCTGAACAATCACCAGCTGCATGAAGTTTAACAAGAGTAGGTACTGGATTCTGCACCAGGAAGGGGCAACCCTAACTATACATACAGCCTGGGGGATGAAACACCAGAGACCAACCTCACTGAAAGAGATTTGGGGGTCTTGGTTAAGAGCACACTGAACATCAGTTAACAGCGTGCCCAGATCACCAGGAAGGCCAGCAGTTCAGGCTGTGTTTCAGGAAGAGTTTCTTAACCAAAGGATGATAAGGCACTAGAACAGGGCAGTGGTCACAGCACCAAAACGTTAGAGCTCAGGAAGCATCTGGACGATGCTCACAGATACATGGTCTGATTTTTTTAGTAGTAGTGTGGAGTCAGAAGAATAGTCCAGTCTTATAGGTTCCTTCTTACTCAGGATATTCTATGATTTTGTGATTACGCATATTATATCAATTCCTAGGTCAGAGAAAAGGTTGAAACCATATTGCTTCTTATCTTTGATGCTTATTCTATTGAAGAATTAAAAAAAAAAAAAAAAAAAGTAGTAAGAAAGAAACAATCTCTGCCTCTGCTAAACAGAGTATTTTGTCAGAGCATTTAGGGCTAAATGGATTATAAACCAAACGAGGATACTTGTTCTGAGACATGACAAATTTCTTCCAAGCAGCAAGATTAAACCCACTCCTAAATTAAATGTGAGACAAGCAAAACAGAGTTCTCTGGATCCAGATGTTCTACAGCATCTTCCTTGCAGTCCAAAAGATGAAGAAACACAAAACAAAAGTAATAAAGAAAACACCACCCCAAATCATAGCCCTAGCCCACGTCAGAAAGTACGTCCAAATTGCGTGTTTTCACTGCATTATAACATCACACCTTAAGCAGAAAGCCTGTACAGACTTGAGTACATCTGCAACATCCGAACAGAACGTATCACTCAACAGGCACGCTTTGAGTAAGAATCCAGACCAGCACAGAAATCGTTAATACGTATAGTAAACTCAGAAAGAGAACTAGAAGGCATAATATGAAGCGTGAATAACCATACTTAACATTTGGTGTAGCTTCTTTACATTAATGTCCTGAAAGCTGAAGAATCAGCAAAGGAGCAATTCTGATGCTGATGATTCTTCATTCTTAAATAAATGGTCAAGAACTGTAGATAGTAAAATATGTGCTCAAACAGAAGTGTCTGGACATTAAAATTTGTCTAGAAATGTCTCATCATTTTAGTCACCTTGTGAAAAAAAAGCTGATGGTCAAACAGCTTATGGTGAAAGAGAAGATTCACAGTTTCTATGCATGCTTGTGATCTCCAAAAAGCTTGACGAACAGTAACTGCTATTGCAACTGCAGAGGAAAGAAATCTGCTTTGATGCTCATTTCAGACTTTATGCAAGCATATGCAGGCCACCCTTCGCTTTTTGGTCATTGCAAGACATTCAAACTGGTCAAATGGGTACAAGAACAGTGTTCTTCTAACATTAAATAGTTTACTTTAATAAAATTACAATGCTGTGAACAGTTATGAGCTGCTGAGTAGCCAACTTGTGTTCATCTACTTCTACGTTAAAGATGTGAATGACGGCATCCTGTGTTGTAATTCCTGAAAAGAAAATCTAATACTCTAAAAAAGGATGTACCTGTAACCCTACTAGAGATAACAGCCCATGGATTCTATATGTATTTATGCAAAATTTATGTTTTGAAAGCTTGCTGTACTCTCCGGACAGTGGCAGTTTAAAAATACCTTTTATTGCAGTCTGATTGAGAAACAAATTCTCAGTGGTCGCTGAGATTTAAAAAGCTCTGCCAAATGCTCTGGCACCTAGTCCCCCAGCAAAATATATCTAACATGGCCCCTATTTCTAGCTCACCAAAAAGCCTTGCAAATGGTATCTCATGAAAGCAGCACAAAGCCCCAAACAGATAATACACCTTTATAAAGAACCTCTGTTTTGTAAATTAATCTACAATAAACTTACTGGAAACAAGCAATATCACAATCCTTTTTCCAACAAAGGTGCAAATAAAGTTAGTACAAGCACCACTTCTGGAATAGCTGGTGGATGTCTGGTGCTCTGGCATGTAGAAGCTTATTCCCAACTGTTCTTTTAGTTTGTTTTGGTCTATCAGATTCAACAAACTACTTTCTACCAATTACTGTGAAAATGTGAAGAAATCCAGGAACGAAGTACCAAATATTTTCTGTAAATGCACGAAAACCTATTTGAAACAGGGATTTAGCATGTATAAAAGGGAATTTAGCAAGTAGATATGAAATGGTACAATACCTTGTATATTAAATAAAAACAATGCATGAAGATAAACAAAACGGCAGTCATGCGGGGAAGAGAAATGGGCAAGTGACAGCAAGGGTATGAATTGTAAATGAAATGGAAGTTACAGCTGTGGAGAACATCAACTAAGCAATATGACCCAACAAAGCAGTGTAACATTCTGGTTTGAATGATTAATTATGTTTCAATTATACATCATTCATAAACTCTCACTTTCCATTTCATTTTTATTTTTCTTTTTACAGTATAAATCAAATTATTGCAGCCAGCTGTATTAAAGGAGCTAATGCTATTCTTTTTTTTAATGAATTTTAATAAATTTTACAAAAGGATTTCAGGTTTGAGATTTGCCAAGAATATATTGTATATTTAGTCACATACAAGGACTGACCACAATTACAGCTAATACTATGCACTGTACTTGAAAGATTAGAGAATACCAGTAAACTATTTTATTTGCTTTTTACTACAGAGTATAGAGAAATAAAAACAAGAGCACGACTTCTGAAGTAAAGGGCACAGGTCATATGTTATTCATTCTATCATGAAAGTTGTGAAATTACACTTCACAGCTGTGCTTGCACTATTTGTTATAGCCTGAGACAGAACATTTGAGAGCAAAAGAAAGGCATCAATAAAGTCCAATGTCCACAGACAGGAAAACAAAACAAAGATGCAGATACATCAATACCCCACAAAAAATAAACTCCCGCTATGGTTCAATTCCTCATTCTCATCTGCAAAGCAATTACACAACTCCTAGCAGCATCTAAGCTAGATGCAAACAGATTTCCAAACATTTAAGACATGAG